TTTATGTGGCTGCAATGACAGAACACCTGACCTGCCTGGGGCTGCACTTTCAAGGCAGAATCTTCTCTTTCTCTAATGGTGGAATTTCAGACATGTGGCGGGTAGATGGCATTCCTACAATCAGCCCGAGCCATTGCATGTACAGGGCGGCTTCACCTGTTCTTAGCACTGTTTGCTAAACTCTGAGCAGGTCTCTGCCATACTTCCTCCTGGACAGTCTTATGTGGCTCTGATTGGTGGTTCCACCCCACCCTGTTTCTCAAGCCCTCTGGGTCGTAGGGCTCCCCACCCATGGCTGCCTGCCAAGGGAAAAGCCCTGCACTGGAAGTCTGCCAGTAATTCCAGAGAATGACTTAGGGGAGGGGAGGAAGTATTTTGCAGGATCCCCAAATTTTCCTGAGAACAAGGAAATTGGAGGCCCCATAACCCCACGTTTGTCCAGTGTACATGTCCTTGCACAACCCCACAACCCCTCACCAAATGGCTGCTTACCTTCCAGTTTTTATTTTACTCCTTTTTTTTTTTTTTTTTTTGCTTCCAGTTTTTATTTTACTCCTTTTTTTTGTTTTTTTTTGCCAGAGGGTACATGTGCTTGCCAGAGGGAGAGGGAGAGAGCACTCCCCATGGGGTGCGATCACACCTCAATCACCTCTCCATCTCTCCATCCTTTGTATGCATACATACACACGCACAGCATATTTTTTCAATCAGCCAGGGCCAGGACTCGAACCACAGTTAGCCATGCAGGATTCCCCTTAGCCACTAGACCATGGGACTGACTGATGAATGTCTTGAATGTCTCTAGAGATGGGGAACTCAGTTGTAATTGTTAAATAAAAATGAAGGAGGTCACTGTTTTGAACTAAGTTTTCCTGTTCTATGACCCAAAAGATCAGACCAGAACAAAGTCACCCATATTAAAATGTCACAGCATCAAACTAAGAGAAGATCTTTCCCGAGATCTTTCTTTAAGAAAAGATTAACCTCCAAAGCAGGCCACTTTTTCCCTGAAAACAGGAGATTCTAGTCTACCTAAGTCAGTGCTATAAGGAAATAAAACGTATGCACATTTTGTGGCTTTCTTAGGAATATGCACCCAAAATAGCTCTAGCTGCTACCTCAACTCATTGGACTTTTTGTTTTATGAATATCCTATTGCCCACATACCTTCCTCTTTTAACTCACTGTCACCACACTTTGCTTAAGACTTAGCAAAGGAACTCCAGGGCATCGTGAGGTCTTCCTGCTGCTGTCCTTACCATAGACTTTCAGCAGTGGCTGCTGCCCAAGACTCCCGGCTACTCCCCCCTCCTGTTTGCGACTTTTCCCTTTAAAAATCGTCCTGAAATTACTGTATGACCTTGGTGCACATTAACCGGGGCAACTTAGATTCTGTGGTGCCTACGTGATTGTCCTAACCCTGGCCAGATAAACTTGGGCTTTACTTACTCTGCCTTCTTTTTTTAGGTTGACAGAAAGAATGGAGGTTCTAGGCATCTTTGATTTCTTCCTGTTCTCAGGCAGACTTAAGTGGTCTTTTTTGTTTGTTTGTTTGCTTGCTTGCTTTAGGGCATGTGTGTTTCATGGAGAAAGGCAAAGAGAGAGGGAGAGAGCAGAAGTAACAAAGCCCCTTCTCAGGGCAGATGGCCACGCAGCAATTCCTTTTCCTCGATTCTTCTCTCAGGATTTTGGGCATGCACGCTCACGTGCCCAGTATGTTTTTTCAAGCTGCCTGGTTCAGGACTCAAACCACTTAATTGGCCATGTAGGATCCAGCTGCCTTAACCTCATGCCATCTGTTGACCCAGGCAGATTTAAATTTTCTACAGTGAAATTATTCACTCAGCAAGTATCGATAGGGCATCTCCCAGGTACCAGGCACTTTTCCAGCTATGGGAGATAGAGCAGTGAGCAAAGCAGACAGAAATCCCTGCCCACCCACATAGTCCTGACATTGTAATAGGGGAAGAAAGGCAACAAACAGTGGGAATATACAGTTCGTCCTAGGGCAAAAACGATATGGAGAAAAAGGAAGGGGACAGGGGAGTGCTGTGTCTGCGTTCCAGCTTAACATAGTCAACAGAGGTGACAGCCAAGTAAAACCCTGCAAGAGATGAGGGGGTTAATGCATGCAGGTGTTGTGG